CACCCCCACCCCCACCTCCTGCACCGATCGCCTTGCCTGCACCGGTTCCAGCAGTCGAGTATGGACCTCCCGTCCAGCAGTACCCTGGTGAGTAAATAAGTGTCCGACTTTTGTGCCTAGTGTTACTATTTCTAGCATAGTTATAACGCTTGTCGATTGGTCTGTCCCCAGCTGCAATCCCAGAACCAGCCTACGCCCCTCCTCCGCCACCTCCGCCACCACCACCACCGCCGCCCCCACCGCCACCTCCGCCAGCCCCCGCCCCCGAGTACGGTCCCCCCGTGAGAGTGCCGTTCGCCGAGTACGGGCCGCCTCCCTCATCCGCCCCTCTGATTCCTCCTCCCCAACTATCAAATGACTTCGAATACGCACCAGAGCCCAGGACCCTCCTATTCTAATTAAGGTGAGTAAATGTCTTATAAGTAAGTTACTTCATAATTATAGATTCCCTGGGTCACTCAAATTAGGGCTTGTTTTTCAGGATGGTTTCACACTTGCGGCCGACGATCACTCCAGGAGACTTGGGGCGCACCCTTCCTTCCAGTGAGAATAGAATTTTCGAGTACGACTATACTCCATGATTGAACTTGAAATCTTGGAGCATAGATAAATATTGTAAACGATCAGAACGATATCCCTATTGCTCCGTCGTTTCTCTTTTGACGTCATCCTATCTGTTCATCCATAATTATAATTATTATTTATTGTAATGTTAGTATTATGGCGCTTCAGACTCAGACGTCTGCAAACAAATCCTGATCATGTGTAATTATTTTGTATAAAGAATTAAATAAATCTTGTCATTAATTGTACAATATGGAATCAGTGCGCTCTATTAATTAACACGTCAATTTCTCAACTTAAAACACCTCTGCTGCATTCGTAATAACAATTGTAGTTACAAATAGTACAGGGTGGTGATCTCTTCGACGGCCCTTTTCCTTGTTACTGTCCCGGATACAGGCAGGCATGCGGTGGGCTTCCCTCGCGCGCAGTGGTGCCTTGGTGCCTTACGGCCCCGTGGGAGTATGCAACCAAGTCCGCACGTCTGTGCCTCCTACAGTACAGTATAACAAGAAAAAAAAAAGGTCCAACTTTTCACAGCACGGATGTGACGTCCTTATTCAAAATTCAACCTTCCCCCTTTTATCTCAATCTTTTCCCCGTAAACTCAAAAAATAATTCATGTTAAAGACGTTGTCCTTTGTTGCTAATGCTTTTTCCAAGAGAGAACATGCACATTGCCATTCACTTTGGCTCTCCGTGTCAGTTTCAGTTTTTGCAGTTCGACGAACCCAACCCAACCTCAACATCTGTTGTAGTACCCGGCTGCCGTATTCCAACAAGTTTGGTGCCACATATTTGAAAATGGAAGGTGAACCGAAAGAGGACATGGAAAAGGGAGAAGTTTCTGATGAAATCGACCGTCCTGAAAAATCAAATCCTAGAGCAATAGGAGAACTGATAAGTCGGCGTTTGGAATCAGAAATCACCATTGAAGCTACCGTAGATACCGGGTTTGAGTTCATGGCTATTGAAGAATGCAAAGCAAAATTTGGCAAAGAAATTGACGTTATCAAAGAGCGTGGTAGAATAATGTTCAACATCGATAAATCAAAATATTCTGAGGTAGAGTGTCTTTAAAAAATTTTGCATGCCTCCCTAACCCCCAATTCACTTTCAATTTCTATCATTTATGAACTTTGATTGCAGGTTTTGCTAATGAGATCTGTTGATAATTTGTACCTAGTATTAAGCTATGATTCCAGTGTAGGTTTTCAAGGATCTAACACGGTAAGTTTATTGTTAATCAAACTACTCATCACCTCTCATGTTTCGGAGAAACTGTTCAATGAAAACTTTTTCAGGCTGAGGATATAGCTATTGCTGCAAAGCAAGCTCATACTCCTGAATGGGACCGTTGGTTGAATGTATGGAAAGACCTTGTAGAATTTAAGGGTATTTTGAGACCTTCTACGGAAGAGTATGCAGCTGCCAATGAACGTGCTACCAAAGACAAGGAAGAAGAAAAGATTAGACAAGCTGAGCGTCAGAAAAAGTACAAAGAACGGCAACAACGTAATGCTGAGAAGCAAGCTAAGCGTAAAGCTAAAGCCGATCTTATCAGAGCACAATATAATGGTAAGCCCTAATTATATTTACCTCTAAATAAAGCATTCCGGTAAAGCTGAAATGCAGAAGAAGGGAGGAAACAAGAATACGGAAGTCCCATATAAAAGCATAGTGATTTCTGTTTTCTTCTTCCTCACATTCTTCTGCTACCGGAATGCTTAATTATAATAAAGTGTTTTAAACTGGAAGTTGGGCCCATAGTCATGACACTTCCAATTTACATTCAGCTCGCAGGGCTGCTGCCGACAATGATCAGAAAGAACCTGAGAGCAGCAAAGGGGACTCTGATGAGGCTTCTTCTGGAATGAAGTGTGAACTGGAAAAAACTGATGGTAAAATTGAAGAAACAAGTCCTAAAGAAGATGTCTTGGAGTCTGTGTCTGGCATTGAGGAAACTGTGCAAGACTTGCAGATTCAGTCTGAAAATGTTAAATTAGATAAAATAGGTGTAGAAAATGTTGAACTTGACCACTCCCAGGATGTTGCAGCACCAAACCCTTGTCCTGAGGAGGCTGAAGGTTGGTTTTCTTCAAATAATTTTTTATATGCTGTCTGATTTGACCTTAATTATACTCAACATGTTCTTTCATTCCAGTAAATGTTGACTCTGATGATGAGATTCAGTCATTACCAGACTATGACAGAGAGGTTGAACGTGAAATCGATCAAACTGTGCCTCCTGGTAATCTTCAGTTTATTTCCTTGGGTAAAATGGTGTTAGTGTTCCCTATCTGTATCATTTAACAATTTTTTTCACTTGTAGAGAAAAGAGTTTTAAGGTTCAGAGCTACATGTTTCCGTGTTGGCAAGCATACTTTTGGCTCAATGGAGGCAGCTCGAGAATTTGGTGGAGCTCTGCAAGACAAATTCAATTGGGTTGTGGATCTTGTTAATTTCAATGCAGAGGTCATTCTGTTTGTGGTGAAAGGTATACAGATTTTGAAAGCTTTTATTTATTATGTTTTTACTAGCAGAAGCCTAAATAGAACTTTAAAATTATGAGGTTCACTATTTTGCAGATACTGCTCAAGTTAGCATTGCTCTTACTAAAAAATCTCTTCATCGGAGGAATATCTCTTTCTTTGGACCAACAACACTCAGGTCCACTGTATGTCACAATTTACTCCGATTAGCTGATGTTAAACAAGGAGACATAGTTCTTGATCCACTTGCAGGTGGTGGATCAGTTCCTATTGAGGTAAGTTTTCATTTCATACGTCATTTACACCATATCTACTAATTATTACATCAAGATATGTAACTTTTTCTTTTGATTTCAGGGAGCAATGAGTTTTCCTGGTACATTTCATATTGGTGGAGATAACCATTCTAAAGCAATGTCTCGCTTATACTCCAACCTTCGGGTTCTTCATGAAGAGATTGGGAAGGAGCTACCTCTGGGTGCGGTTCGCTGGGATGCTCGGCGATTGCCACTCAATGAAGCAAGTGTAGACGTCATAGTGTCAGATCTGGTAGGTTTTCATGTTACTTAATTTGACTTAATGGTCCAGGACCCCAGCCACATTCTATAAGTCTATAACATTTTTATTTTTTCTTCAGCCTTTTGGCGTTCGTTTGGGAAGTAAATCAGGAAACCGTAATTTGTATCGCCGTGTTTTATTGGAGATGGCCCGAGTCACAAGACCAGGCACAGGACGAGCTATATTGCTTACTCAAGATCGAAGAAGTTTTGCTTTAGTGAGTTTGTTTATTTGCATATTAGATTAAAGGCTTGTTCATATGATGTCGATGACTCAACTGTCTGTCTATTTTCAGGCTCTTGTGGGCACAATGGGTTTGTGGTGGCAGAGTAAAGTCATGTCAGCCAATATTGGCGGTTTGGATGCAGCTGTCTTTACCCTGCGCCGCACAGCTAAAGTACGGCCTGATGAAGCTGACCTAGCCGCCGCCGCTGAACTCGCCAAGGACCAGGACAAGTGGCGCGAAGGAGGATACTCTCGAGGTGGTTATGGACGTGGTCAAAGCCATGGACATCAAGGTCGTGGTGGTCGAGGTCAGGGCCAGGGCCGAGGTAGAGGATGGGGTGGCAGAGGTCGTGGCTATCCTCGCGGTGGTAATAAGCAGTCTGGAAGTGGTGGCAACTGGAGAGACCATGGGTCCAAAGGAAGTCCCAAACCTGAAGCCAACTAAGCTCTCCCTCAAACTAGTATTTTCATTTTTCAAAACTGATATTCATGCACTGAATAGGAAATGTGATCATTGTTATCAATATTGTGATACCAATTGAAATTATTTAGTTCTGTTTGATTACACACAATGGGATAGCTGCTTTCCCCAAACATATTCGGTCTGTGATTACTATTACTTAGTAGTCAGGAATATATTTTGGAAGGTATAAAATGTTTTTATTTTTTCTCTACATATAATTATTTTTATGAAAGATCTTTTTCTTTTTCCTATGTGATGAAAATGGTTTGTAGTTATGACTGCAGAACATGTTTGTTTTTTTGTTAATATTACAGTTTGGTTTATTAATTCTAAAAGTCTAAAAGAAAAGCAATTGTACAATTAAATTTGTATTTTCTCTCACCAAAAATTCTATTTTGCATCTTTAATTGCATCCTTTAGTTCTGATGGAATGATGATGCAGACAATATTCTTGTTTTCCTCATTCTTCAGTTCCCATTTCACTTGTACTTTTAGCTGCAAAGGAAGTAATACAGCATAAGAATAATTACTGACATTTTATACTTGAATCTTTAATTCAAACAAATTTTCTTACCTTAGGGTATACTGGCTTGACAAATAAGGCGTATTTATAGGTGTGCTCCCCCACTGACAGAGGGCATGAAAGACCTGTATTTTGGCAGGCATCTGGAGTAGCCAAGGGGAATGGAACAGGTACACCTGCTACTGTACCATGCACAATGTGCCGCACTTCCTTAATATCTTTCTCTGAAAAAGAAAAAAGAGATATAGATCAAAGCTATGCTTATATTTCCCACTTACAAAAGAGTGCTGCTCAATAAATCTCCTCTCTGCTTACTTGTTTTAAACGTAAGTGTGAGGGTAACATTCTTTCCTCTGATGAGGGGGCATTTCGGTGTGTCTTCTGAGCAGTCGGAAACTTCTGCCTTGATGAAGTCAGCCAGGTCATTGCCTTGTTCTGCAAACAATTTATTGGTAATTAGCATTTTTTCCCATCCCCCGGCAATACTGCAGTGAAGGAAGAAGAGACGGAACTAAGTAGCTCAGACTCTGGAGGCATTTCACAAATCCGGCAGAACTCCAATTTCCTGAGACGTGTCGAATCGATTTTACGGAACTCCTGGGGGGGAAGGCCCACTACAACATGGCAAAGGCGTCGTGTCAAAGCTAGTCGTAGCGTCTTCACCAACACCGTGACTGAGTTGGCTCTGACGGCGTCGCGGACCCGGTCCAGTAAGTCACAATTGATTCCAGCGGGTGCGGATGGATGATGCGTGGCCGCAGTGGGCGTGGGATGGGGCTTATCTCCCACCCGCACCGTCGCCGTCGACTCAACAAGTCCCCCCTCGGGTGGGGAAGCGAGGGGAGGCCCAATTCAAGTCATCCCACCGAGAGGCTCGCCCTCACCCTCGGGGTCGAAGGTATACAGTCCATAGTCGTCACTCGTGTCACTAAACGCTCCGGCTCGCTTGGACTTCCCTCGCTCTGTGAAGAGGCCGCGACACCTGAACCTCCTCATTAGGTGGACAGGAGCCACAAATAATTGCTACCGGCCAGTGTCGGACTGGACTGGACGTCAATTTTCGAGACAAGCGAGTCGCAGACGACGTCAGTGCTTCCCACCTGTGATATGGGGGGCCCCTTCGATAAGGTTACACAGAAAATTATCCCAGGCCCCTTAAAAAATGGATATAGAGTCTAGTAAATCTGTATGTGTCCTAAACAGACTGGCATACCCTTTGGGTAGCGTCACACTGTGCCGCTTGCTGGCCGCTGAGTTTGGCGGGCGTAAACATTGAGCAAACACTCACCGCCGTCACAGGTCTCGATGTCGGCAGCCAGGGTCACGGGCAGCACGGCGGCGAGCCCCAGCAGGGCGGCCAGCCCCAGGGCGTAGAGAGTCGCCGTCATGATCCTGCGGAGGAGGATGAGGAGTGCGTTGTCGGAGCGGAAGAGGACGCTGTGCTCTGCTCGCCTGCTCGCGTCGCGTCCGCCCGGTGATGGTGTTCGACTGGACTGCAGCTGTCACAATAGCCGGCTCTAGCTGCACGACGCGGCCAATATACGCCTGCCTGAGCCTCCTCTCCTCTCCTGGCCCCCGCCGCCCTCGTCACCGCCCCGCCGGGGCTGCCTCCGAAATCATCTGCGCGCGGTTGATAAGACGCAGCGTCCACTGCCGCCGCCGCAGACGTCACCCCCCTCTCCCATGCCCCTACTCCCAACCCCCGGCCCCTCGCCGCTCTCCGTCGCTCTCGGACAGATTGTGGCTTGCGTGAGGGAGACAAAACGCGTTTCTCGAAAGCAGCCCCAACGACCTGGTGAGGGGGGGGGGCGGGGCCTTCCACTCTGCTGTTGCTCTGGTCAGCGATTTGCGCGGTGGCTCGCGGTTGCGTGCGGTGGGTGCCCAGTGCCCCCTCCCCCCTCCTTCCCCCGCCACACTCTCCCCCCTCCACTTCCCTCGCCGCGATTTGGTGTGGTCACATGACCGTGTTTCACCAAGCAGAACCGGGCGACGATCGCGACGTCTCTCCAGCGACAAAGTCATGATACCCAGTGGTGACGCGAACTGCGAGCTAGGCAGAAAGGTGATTTGGAGTCAATTATGAGTCATTTCGACTTCGACACCAGCTGGCCCCCTAAATACAAGGAGCGGGGCTCTGTAACTTGCCGGTGAAATGATGCGGTCTTCCCTATGTCTTCTTTTTGTCTTCTCTTGGTCTTCTGGTTTTTGGGTTCGTGGTTTTTCACGTCACGAATCTTCTTTTGGTCTTCCCCGGTCTTCCCATCGGGGCAGCTGGGCGGCCGGTGTACACGCTCATCCCAGTTACATTAGACCCCCCAGGGCAGGCCTCCGGGGCCCTGGCGTGCGACTTGGTTTATCCTCACTGACCGCGTTGACCACGGTGCCTCGTGGCGCCGGCGGCGTAGGCAGCCCGGCCGCACGCACCCGCATTCGCCACCCACCCTGCGCCAGCTGCAGTAGCTGCAGTGACCCGCGTGACCCTCCCGCCCCCTCCCTCGCCTGGCTCCGCGCCTCTGCAGTCATTTCACACCCGGGGGCTAAACACCCCCGGCCCGCGGTGTCGCCGAGCCTTTGTCCCGCGGCACCCGCGGCTCGCGGCGGCCTCTCATCGTGACAAACAGCGACCGACTTAACCGAACCGTGCCTCCCTCCCGCGCTTTTGAGCGACCTGCCGTTCCGACGTGACCTACCATACGACTCGACCACCGTGCTCGTGCTCTCGCGGTATCACCCCGTCCCTCCTCCCCATCCTCCCCCCTCTCTCTCTCTGCTAGGGTTATCGGGGGGCGGTTGTCTTTGGAGCCGATGCCGCCGGGAGATTAAGAGGTCCATTGAACTTCCCTCCCGACCCGACTTCCTGATGGCCAGCTGTGCAAGCAAATGTGCGTGGGCGCCACGCGATGCCCCTTGGTGCGTGCCCCGCAGACTAATGTGGGGCTGCGTGGAGCTGCGCGGGGCTCCTCCTGCCGCCGCCGTCTGACCCGCGCGGCGGCCTTGGGGCGGCGCAGCACCGGCAGCAGCAGCGCGGAGCGGCGCGGACCAGGATGAGGAGGGAGGAAGTCGGCGAGCGGCGGCGGGACCATCCGGACCACCAGCACCACCAGCCGCCAGCAGTATCTTTTGCCAGATACTAACCTGTGAGGCTCTGTTTTTAGTTGAGCGAGTGCCGTGGTGGCGGCGGGGGGGACCATTCTAATCAACCAATTTACTCTGACAAGTTTTCCTCTTACGCACAATTCTGACTAAACGGGTTGTTTTTGTGTACTTTGGTGGGGTGGCTGTAGTGTAGTAGTGGCGGAGAGGGGAGAGAGGTGTATCGTGTGAGCTCGGCTATATAATGTTAGGATCCACAATCCAAACTTCGCGAAGCGAAGCGACACTGCACGCCACCTTTGCTGGACACGCAGCAGCTCGGTTTTTCGGAGTTTCCCACAATTAGCACGTTCGGTGTCTCTAAAGAGGCGGCAGGTGGCACCAGGAGGAACTCTGCCATGCGCCGCGCCAACGCGAGTCGTGCGGAGAGCTCGGCGGGCCGAACGCCAGGACCGGTAGGCAGCCCAACGCGCACGCGCGTCGGGCGGGCAGGCCGGCAGGCCGCACATGGGCGTTGTGCACGTGCGCGACCGGCTGGCCAATCCGCAACAACAGATATTACTCTCGTAGCTCGCACTCTTCTTGCTCGCCGATCATACGACTTATTTTTAGAGAGATCGTCTGAGACATTCAATAATTGTCATCCGCACAGCGTCAGTTGAACAAGCAGTTGTTCGAAAGGCTCGCGAGGGGTCGGGTCGTCCGTCCACACATCACACAGAGTGACCTACAGACCCCTGGACAATTTCATTGTTATGCTGTGGCTCATGCAGGCGTGTGGACGCGTTGCCTTCTCGCAGGGGGCCATAAGGCATCGTCCAGAAAGTACGGCCGTTCGTCAATGTCCAGGAGCCAGGCGCCTGCGGAAATTAGGGTAGGCAACCCAGCAGTGCACACGTGCACTTGAGGAAAGATGTTGCCTACCGATCAGGCGCTGTGGGAGCTACCATTGGCTGAACTGGGCAGTTCCGTAACGGCATAAGGCGGACGTACTTTCTAGATGATCCCTAGACGTCGTCGTGGTGAGACGTTAGGCAAGCAAGCTCGCCCGTAATGTAATACAATATAATTTTCACAATTTTCCGGGACATGAGGGCCACTCTGTACGTCGTGACGCTTGTGAGGGGGGACAGTTACGATCATCCGAAAAGCACTGGCGGTTGACGGTAGTTGCATACGGGGTCTGGAGGGTGGAGGGACGAAAGGGAGGGGGGTGTTTTAGTGGCCTAGTTATTGGTTCTGTCAGAGAATGATGTGCTATTGCTATAACAGGGGGGGGGGGCAAATCAAGAGAAATTTCTGTGATTTACCAGGTGGCCGATTCACGCCGCGCACTTCTGTAGTTATGCTTTACCGCATGCACAAGTGCGGGTGGGTTGCCTACTCGCTCGGCTCGTAAGGCGCCGTGGACAGGGGCGATAGGCAAGCCCGTTCGCATTAGTGCTTGCGGTACAGTCTAACTACAGCGCGGCGTGAATCAACCACCTGGTATATTGACAACCCCTAAACCTGATGTTAAAGTGGAAATCTGTGTCGATATGAGTGGTAATAATTAACGCAACCCTCTGTCGTGCCCTGCCGTTTACATGCAAGCCTTTGAATTACGAACTCGCTCACCACTTTAGTAGGTCGCCACCGCTGCTTTGCTGAACGCGGCAGCAGTAAACCTGCTGAGCGCGGCCGTTGGCGGCCACCACACCAAGTGCACGCGGGGAGGATCCGTAGCCTGCGGCAGCGCGGGCCGCTCTTGCACTGCTTGCAGTTCGGGCCGCGGTCAGCTGAGCCCGGGGGCGGAGCCCGGAGCCCGTCAGTGCGAGCCCCGCCCGCCCCGAGACCTGTCCATCCCAGCCTTCCCCTTCCATCCCTCTGATTGTTGCCGCCATGGACTCCCGGACGACCCTGGTTCTGCTGTGTCTGGCCTACGTCCTCGGCGCGGTGCTCTGTGATGGGGACGACGATCACAACCTATTCGGCAGCATCAGGAACTGCGGTAAGTGCGCGTCTGTGTGTGTGTTGCTGCTCGTCAGCTGATCGCCCCCGTCCATGTTTTGCCTGCCTCACCCCACCCTATTTCATGAACCCACGCAGCCCCCGACAGCGACCTGGCGGAGCTCACGGGCGTGTCCGTGCTGGGCTTCAGGAAGAACGATACGGTCTGCACGTTGCGCAGGGACAAGCACACCACCATCTCCATCGACTTTATCAACAGTGAGTGAGGACGGCTTTGATGTAAGTAGTCCCTCGGCGATGATGAGGACGCGTCACTGACCACGCGTGTTGCCCGCAGAGAAACGTGAGTGGCGGGTGACCTCCAAGGTGCACGGCGTCATTGCAGGCCTGTCCATGCCCTTCGACCTGAAGCACCCCGATGCCTGCAAGGACACGGGTCTCGTCTGCCCGCTCGCCCCCGGCCCGCAGACCTACACATACAGCATCTTCGTTGACAAGAACAAGCCAAAAGTAAGTGGTGACTCATTTTTATAAAAAATTCCATTTTCGACTATTAAGTGGAGGAGACTTAAAACCATTTCATAACTACACAAACAAACAAAAGTTGCCGCGCCAACCGAGAATTTGTTGCTCGCACTGATATTTCAGTTAATTCAGTGACAACTAATTTCTATAGCTACTGAAACCACACTCGAAAAATTAGTGGTAGGAAACAAAAAATTATGTTATTTTGTTTGCAATGACTAATCAGTGGTCACTTTATTACCAATTTTCGATTACAGAAAAGAAATCAGTTTTACTTGTGAAACTATGTTGGCATTTGGCATTTGGTTAAATTTATGTTAATAAATTAAATATGCAAAGTAATGATCAAGTGTAAAATAATATACTTCTCGTTCGACAGCTGAAACACGTCGACGTGAAGTGGGAGCTGCTCAACGAATTCAACAAGCCGATCGTCTGTGTCCTCATCCCCGCCAAAATCCGGTAGTGCGCTTCTGGACTGTTTAATATCTCCTCTGTAGTTGTTTAATTTTATCATATGGTACAAATAAATGTTTCAAAATCAGCGGTCGTAATATGCCTCTTTTTGTGCGTCGTCTGAACCCCTTTGTGATTCCGGTGCCGACCGCTGAAGAGTCGAGCTGACCCAGAGGCGACTCGGCAGTTTATTAGCGAGAATGGACGCCGCCGGGCCGGGCTGAACGGGTGGCATGGCGCAACGAGGAGCCGGACATGCGTCCCCCCCAGGTACAGGCAGCTGCGCACATACCGCCCCGCCCCAGGGGCACGTGGGATGTCCTTATCGGGAGGAGTGGGGTAGAAAGGGAAGGAAAAGGGGAAGAGAAAGAGGGAAAGGGTGGGGGAGGGAGTACATTTCACCAGTTGGTCCGTGAGTTGCACAAGGCAATGCGTGTAGCTATTGGTTTGCAAATGCCAGCCGACTGATTCCGGAGAACCCGACCCTCTCCTATACCTTCCGCATAGCTCCGTCCTTGTCGCACTCATAGGGCAGCGCCCCTTGAGGTCTCTTCGGAATCAGTCTGCAGGTGGTTGATTCACCCTGCCCGCCTCCGTGCGGTTAACCTTCTCGATCGGCTCGACATGAGAGGACATAGGCAAATCCACCTGCTCGCAAGCATTGCGGTACATACTATAATCCAACTACGGAAGTAGCAGGCAGGTGGGGTGTTACACCGGAAGACAGGCGGAACCTAGCACGACTGCCCGATCTGATTCCTCCTGCGAACTCATTGGCTGTCCGCCACCCCGACGTCGTTGTTGGCCAATCGGCGTGCAGGAGGACAAAGATCAATCCGGATCAATCAGCAGTCATGCTTTTCCTTTAGTTTCTGGGAATGCTCCATGGCCTGGCTCGAGCCATAGGTTCTGGTCCTTCGCCCCGGTACGCTGGTTCGCACTTCGCAGTGCCCTTTGCTTTCGGGGAAGAGGTTGGAGCGGAGGTGGTCTGGGAATGACATAGAACCGGCGCATGCGGCCGCGCGGGCCGGCTTTCAGCGGCTTCTGGGTAGGACTCGACGGGGTGGGTGGGGAGAGCAGGGGCGGCCCGCGCCTCACTCTGGGACAGACTCAGAGACGTCGGGGGTGGGTCGGGTGTCGGAGAGGGCCTGCCTTGCACTTGCTGCTGCTGCTCGTCGCTGGATGAATTTCCTTAGGGGGGGGGGGAGGCTGTTCTGGGTTTCTTCTCAGCTTAATAAGTATTTCAACTCTTAGCACCCGGTCACTGAGGACTCGACCTGGGGAGAGCAAATGCGCACTGCAACACTTTGAACAGGATTAGAGTTAGTTTCCTTAGTGGTACTGCGCCGCACCCGGTCAGATGGCACGAATATCTAGGGTACATGGGTATCGACCACCGGGTGGTGTTGCGAGTGCACCTCTATTCGCTGCAGGTTGGTGTAATGCAGCCCGATCCACGAACGCCTGGGGACTGCGACTAGCGCAGCCCATACGCATCACCAGCCTAAGCAAAAACAGAGGGCAGAAAGCGACCATCGATGCAGGCACGGATTAAGGGGGGGGGGTGACCCCCCCCGATGTGTCTGGCCTACGTCCTCGGCGCGGTGCTCTGTGACGGGGACGACGATCACAACCCATTCGGCAGCATCAGGAACTGCGGTAAGTAGTGCGCGTCTGCTTTTGTGAGCTCATAGTGTGTTGCTGCTCGTCAGCTGATCGCCCACCGTCCATGTTTTGCCTCACCCCCCCCCCCTATTTCATGACCCGACCCCACGCAGCCCCCGACAGCGACCTGGCGGAGCTCACGGGCGTGTCCGTGCTGGGCTTCAGGAAGAACG